TGCTTCAATGAAAGGCTAAACCTCTCGTTCAATCCGTGGAATCCAAACGCTGTAATTCTGATTTGAGTTCTGGGCAAAATTACTCTGAGTTTGTTCTCTTTTTCTCTAACCTCAAATTTTTTTTTATTGTGATCATGATTAACTTTTCTGTTGTTAGAATTTGAATTAAGATTCGATTGATATTATAATTTGATAATTAATTCGGGTTAGGTTAAATGATAATTTTATTTAATCTGTGATCTAGTTCAATTAGATTATTCAATTGAATTGGATAAACGTTCAAACTCGGATTAAAATCTTTAGATACTGTGATAATTAGAGTTACACGTATGATATTTCTTAATTTGTTTTTATTCAATTTTAATTTGTTCATAATTTAATTTAATTAATTCACAATTTTAAAACCCTAAACCTTACTTTCATTCTTTTAAAAAACCTAAAATTAAATTTAGCTAAAAATGTGTCTCTGTGAATCGACTTAGGTTGAGCTCTATATTGCAAAATCCTTAGCGAAACTTAGTTATTTTGATAGCGAGTTGGCATCGTCTATCAATTTGGCAGGGAGTATTATGTTTTTGGTGTACATAGTCTAATTAAGTGATTATTTCATGGCTTTAATGGATTGATTGAATTATACTTTAGTTTGATAGGTGGATTTTGAAAAATCTTATGTGTTGGATTATTTGTAATAGAATATGTACCTTATGAGGTTTTGAGCCATATAGATAATAATATCATGTCATTTTACTTTCTTTTATTATGTGATTGCACTCGTGGTTGTATGACATTAGAACTTGCCTTAAACTTTTTTTTAAACTATATTTCCATATGCTTGCATTAATATGATAGATGCATCATTTTTTTCTTGCAAACTACTAGTCAAAAAGCAAACCTTGCATTATTTTAATTGTTAAAGCCTCTTTGAGCCTAATTGTCCTATTTCTTGTGATACTAACTCATTTCAAGCCAAAGATATAAAACAATAACATGACCCAACCTTAGGGAATACAAAAACTTTAGATTGATATTTCTTCATTTGTTTTCTCCCAAATTTATTCTATTCGTAGTTCAATTTAGTATTTTGTAGATTTTAAAATCTCCAAAAGTTTACTCGCGTTCTTTAAAAGAAAACCTAAAATTGAATTTAATTGAAAATATGTCCATGTGAATCAACTTAGGTTTAACTTTATATTACAAAATTTTTAAAGAACTTAGTTATTTTGATAGCAATTCAGCATCGTCTATCAATTGGTGCCCTAAGAAGCGCGTATCCGACATGGGGTTTTTGCGCATGTTGTCTGTTAGGTCATCAAAATACAGGAACTTTGCACCCTCCACATGAACAATCGGTAATGTCGAGCGGAGCTCATTACTCTTCCTAGAGCCACCATCAAGATTCTTCATAGACTTCCCCGCAGTTGGGTCCTAGTTAATCATATCATTTGCACGCCCTTGTTTCTTTTCCTTGTGATGATCCTCCACGTGTTGCAGTGTATTCTCCACGTGGACCCGCATGGCTTGTATGGCATCTTTTCACATTTGATCTTGACTTGTAGTGATCTCATGGGCCCCACTGTGTACATTCAAATCCTCATGGACCTCACTATTATTATTCTCTCTTATGATATTATTTGGTTTCCCGGGATTCCTGCCCTTACTCTTAGGCATATCTGCATGATTCCATCCTTGGTTATATGACGAGATTTTCTTCGGATTAAGCTTCCTAACTTTCCGCTTAACCACCAGCCACTCACCATGAGGATCGGGTGCAATATTCAACCTCGATTGAGTGAGATTTTCCTCTCTAACGGCATTAGCAACCCTTCCTACCAGCAGCACAGTGGCCTCTTCATCCTTTGCCACCCGAACGTTACTTTCAGACACAGTTGGAGTTGAGATACGCTTCGTGCAGTTGCGAGCAACGTGCTCATAACATCCACAAGAAGTGCATAACAGATGCAACCCTTCATACTCAACATTATACCAATTACTGTTCAAATTGAATTTCCCAACCACCGGCTTATCTAAGCTGATCTCGACGCAGACCCATGCAAAATGCCCCCTTGTCATGTTGAGTGTGTTAAGGTCGACCTTTATGGGCTTGCCAATTGCTGATGCAATGGTGAGTAAGACACTTTCGTCGTAGAACACCACCCCCAATCCAGGAAAATGGACCCAGACCAGCATTCTGTCCACCTTTGCTTCAGAAGCCACAAACTCAAGCGTCCAAGGTCGTACAACCAAATAATGGTCAAATAACATCCATGGCCCCCCTGCATAACCCATGTGATATATCGATGAGCTTCAGACCTCCTTGTAGCTTCCACAATGAATGAAGGCGATCACGCAAGGCGAGAAACTCCACTTTTAATTATATAAATGATATTATTATATTTTATATATTTTATTTATATAAAAAAAATTACTTTTTCTAAAAATTAATATTTTTATTTTTTATAGATTTTTAAAAAATTACTTAAAAAACTAACATTTTAAAAAAATGTCAAAATCCTATTTATGAAAGAATACGATAGAGTGGGAGAGAGAAAACTCCAAAATCAGAAGAATTCAAAGAAACAAATGTTCAGAAGGTTTAAAAAAAACTTCCCAAAACATTCTCTTCCTAATTAAACAACTTCCAAACAAGAGTTAACCCCTCTTAACTCCTCTCCTTCTAAACACAACTCCCAAATATAATTTGAAAGAAGAGCTTGAAGGTGGGGGAAGGAGTTTGAAGGGGGAGTTTAAGGGTCAAAAGAGGGGGTTGAGAGGAGCTTGGAGATAATAAGAGGAAAGACTGCAGGGAGCTTGGAATGGGGGAAGGAATAAGAAAGGGAAAAGAGAGATGAGATAGGGAAGAAGAAAGATTTGCTTAATTGAATCTGAAATTAAATTTTCAAATTTTCATGCAAATGAGAAAGAATTTGTTTTCCAAGACTGAACCATATATGAGATAAAATTAAGTCAATTTATTTTGTTGATAAAGTACCTATTTATTAAACTTGCACAAACTAAGGTTATGTTTGGATTTTTCATGTTGAGGAAGGGTGATAAGCCAAAGGAAGGTTAAGAGTCAAGTCATCATACTCTGGGTGACACATGTGCTACAATGGCCTGAACAAAGAATTGTAATTTTGTGATGGTGAGTTAACTACAAAATTTATCCAAAGTTTGGATTGTAGACTGCAACTCACCTACATGAAGCCAGAATTGTTGGTAATCGCTTGTCAATCATGCGGCAATGAATTTGTTCCCGAGCCTTAAGAGAAAGAGAGGGGTTATTGATTACTAACTATTGTTTGTAAGTTAATTAAACATGAGAGAAAGAATTATAAAATTTTTCTAAACTCCTCAAAATACTTCTAACTTTATTTGTTGGAGTCCTTCCATTACAAAAAGTTTTAGTGACTTTATCATTTCTATTTTCAATTAGATTAAATATTTTACATCATTTAGAGTTAGAATAGTAAATTTTTTTTTTAAATATTAGTTTTTAGAGTGAAATTTTTTAAAAAATATAAAAAAAATAAAATAATTTTTAGTGAGAGAAAAATATTTAATTTTTTTATTTTTGAAATATATATATATATAAATAAAAGAATATAAAAAATAATAATGACATTTACATTATAAACATGTTATTCTCCTTTGTATTTCAATATTATTAAACTTCCAAACAAAAGAAGATTTAACCCTCATTTCTTTCTTTCTCACCTTTAGAAGCAGCTTGTAGAATATAATTGGCAACTTTTTTGACTGATCCGCTGTCACATCTCAAATCGATACAACCATTCTCTTAGAAGACCTTCCTCACAAGACTCTTAGCATGCTACCAGTCCGATCTAGCTATTCGGCAAACCAAAACAAAACTTAAGTAACTGTCTCTTCACATTTTAATATAAGAGAGAATGAATTTTTTTTATCAATTATTTTGGAATAGAGGTTGAAAAGTTATTTATTTAGAAAAAAAATATATATTAATCTTATGTTAATTAAATCATATAATTAATTTTTTAAAAATTATATAACTACAAAAAAATATATAACTAAAGTCAAAATATATTTTACATTATCTAATTCAAAACAAAGGATATAAATATAATATTATAATAAGCAAAATATTATCTAATAAATCTTTAATTTTTATTATTAATATAAAATTATTTATAAAACTAGAAGATATCAAAATAAGCAGAGGCAACTCAAAATCTACTTCAAACTCTTAACCAAAAACATGCAGAGTATAATTTTTAAAATCCAAACTTATCAAAATTAACTTTTAGTAAGATATAAAACGTTATAAACACCTTTGATAATAGGACTAACATTGAAATTAGATTTAAAATTGAACTTTAGAACTATAATTAAGTTTATTTTAGAGTCATATATATTTGGTACAACTATCAAAGTTTGTTTCCTTATAAAATTTTCAAGTTTAATTAACAATATTTAAAATAATTTAAATATTTATCACCTTAAACCATTCTAAATTAAAGAGTATCATCCTCAACCATTAGTACTATATTTTAACTAGTTATAATAAAATTTTATTAAAATAAAATATTCATTACATTTTTATAATTTTAATGTCATAGATACATTTTTCTAGTAAAATTTAATACCTTTTAAACTCAATCCTAAGGATTAAGATTAACAAAACCTTTCTACATTATATAAAAAAATAAATAAGAAACACTATATTGCAGACTTAAATTAATATAATTACTTTCTTTACTCAAATGTGATTTTTTTTTATTATCTCTTTGATATATATATATATAAAAGATATTTTGAAGCTCTAATCAACAGAGGATTTAGAACTCCAATAGTTCTTTAAGATAGCTATGAACTCCCGTGAGAATGGCTTGCCATTCTTTTACATCAGTTTGACTCATTGTATCATTCAAGTTCCCTACTGCGTCTTGCAGCATGGATCCCTTTAGCAAAATTTCAGTGTTTAACTGAATTGTACTATCCCAGCTCTGTATGCTAGTTCTGCGTGCTTTAACAGGGAACATAAACCAGAGAAAGCCTACTATACCATGATCTCGTTTCAACGCTTATTTCAACCTTGCAGGAGCAAAACTGATTCGTGCAATGATGAACTTCAAGGGACATAGCAATTTTTCTGAGTGGTTTGATTTGATCGATTTGTAGATTGAAATCTCTGTCTAAAGGATTGTCTTTACAAAATCTCACACCCCCAATGATGGAATGAGAGGTTAAAGAACAACGAAGGAAGGAAAGAAAAAGAAAAAGAAAAAAAAAATTGTAAACACGCACATGACCAGTAACCTAAGCACATATAAACACAGCTCTGAAAAATTTGCAAGGACGCTAATAAAAGATAGACCTCCTTGCTGGAAGCAAATCAATGGAGAAGAGATATAATTTAGTCAACTGTCTGATTGATAATTGTTGCCCCCTAAACAACACACTGATCCAACCATAACAACCAATTCATGGTCAAGAAAGCACCTAGTGCAACTTTTCCGAGTATCTTGTATATCAACTAATGTGAGGACAGAGTTATCAAGAAGCTCAACTATATGAGAATCACCTTTCTGTCAGGAATTAACAACCAGCAGCTTTCAAAAAATTATCATATGGACGTGATACTGGCAGCTGAAAGAAGTCAGCTTGATGCTGGTATGCTGTTGCACAAAGCCTTGGACCAGTGTCAGGCAATGTGTTGTGTGAAGCAGAGCCAAAGTTTGAATCCAAGAACGGATTTCCACTCTGCAATTCAAAAGGCATGGGAATATGATACTCTTTTGGCTGTAGGAAACAAGATAACTTCAGCTTTTTAAACATGATGGTATCCAATAAATTGGTCACCCTCAGCAGAATTTAATGATTAAACACTCTCTTCAAAAAAATGCATTTTGAAGAGTCCTAAATCAACCATAGATGCAGATTCTCAAAGTGAACAATGTTTATTCTAAATTTCCAAATTGCATAAAGTAAAGAAGTACCGAAGGTAAACTCTGTTGGACATTGGAATTTGAGGATACGTCTGTTTCCTGGTTGTATTTAGGAGCAGGAATCCTAAATGAATTTAATGGAAGGGAACCCATGAAAGTGGACATCTTCTGCTGCTTTCCCACAAGGAGGGCCTCACAATGGAGAGCCATTTCCTTATAAGGCATGTCAAACGGTGTTGAAATAGAAATCCTTCCTACCTGATGTGTTGTCTCAGAAACCTGCAGATGGATTATCATTTTTTTTTTTTGGTAAAAAAATTCATTTACCTTGACTTTTTTAAAATATAATTTAAACAGTAAAACCAGAAAGTGCCATTTATATAGAATTAACTGATAAAAGCAAAAAAAGAAATTCTTGAACATTGTTTTTGCAACCACAGGATTAATTCTATCCTGACCAATCAAAACAGATATCAAGAATAAAATTCACCCACGATCATGGCTGTCCAAGACATTAGGTGTGTTAGGAACCAAATCAACCCAACTGCTTAAGTTATTTAGTAGGTGCAGATCACTAGCTGTTTATACATCTAATGTGTTCCATTATGCAAAAGCCCTTTAGGCTTTAGTATTGACAAAGCACAGGCCCCACTCAAATCTCATGCTGAAATTATAATTTTACTAGGAGAACGGGCTATGTGGGATCAAACTCTCAAAAGCTTGACAATTCATGCCAAGACCCAAATCCACCCAAAAAATCTGTTAGTTGTAGGCCTAATAGTAATTTATCTCTTACAAGTATGACATTATTAGTGCTTCGGATTATTTTGCTCAACCAACTTGAAAAAAAAGTGATTTTTCCCTTTCCCAGTAATTTAAATCAAATTAAACATATTATAAGTATGTACATGGTGATATAAGGAACTTACTGAACCCAAAATGTCATCAACACTCAGCAGGCTTAGATTTTGTGAGGGCTGTTGCTGTGCATCAGGATTAGCTTGGGTTTCCAAACCACAAACTGGAATGTCGTCGTCAATAGTAAATAATGGTATATCAACCTGCATAATTTCTTGGGAGTGAGCTATGGAGCCTAAAATAAAATGGAAATGATTTCAAAAAATAGAGCAGCACAAGTTACCATATCTGGATGTTTATCATCTTTTAGTCCGGACTGGTACATGTTTTCTGTTGTCTCAGCAGGTAACTGGACTCCCAATGGACAAGCATCATGAGGCAAAAAGTCATTGAGTAGCTGTTCTCTTAGGATGGATGATTCCTGCACACAAAGCACTCCAAGTTAGTACACTGATCCTGATAAATGGGTGTAACATTACATGACAACTGGTCATTACATCCGACGGTTTTCCCACACTCTGCACTATCATAGTAGCAAATGATTCTTTAGACTGGCTCTCAGTTAACTTTATTGCTGAAAGTGTCTTTGAAGCATCTTCATCGTCCTCTTTTGATCCATAAACTTTACCTGGCTGCCTGGCTGTATCAACAACAGCTTGTAGCTTGCTGTCATTAACCAGTTGCAGGAATGGATCAACCTAAAATAAAGCACAGAAAATTAAGAGATAAAAAAATAGTAATTTATCACAACAGAGACTAATAGGAAATAGATAGAAGCATGTTCAACTGAGTAAATAATCAATGCATTACCAAGCAATGACAGAGCGGGGAGAGTAAGGAAAATAGAACAACATAAGTCCAAAACATTGTATGGGACAAGATATACATACTGTTTTATCTGTCAATGCCATTTTAGCAATTGAAATGAGAGAGAGGATGTTGTACGCCTTGGATGTAAAGATAATCATGGATGTTGCAAGAGTAAAGAGAGATCTGCGGCGTGATGGTTGCAGTTTTACTGGAAAAAGAAAGTTACAAAACAAGGCACCTTAACAACACTTCACAACATTAACCATTTTGTCCAAAAGCAACTCAAAGGAAATAGGAATAAAATAAATCAAATATGAGAACATACGCAATAAATAAAATATATGCTATAATGTCCAGTTCTATTCGGTTGAGCATGTAAGAGATGATTTCATTAACTTTATACATCATGGAAAATCAGACTGCCATACTTCCCTGTGAAGCATATTGCATCACCAGCTACGTTAGAATTTTGCCAGGCCATATTGATTACTAGATATTAATTACAATCACAAAAATTTACACAAATTATTATTTTTGACTTTTGGTGCTCAGTCATTTTAAGGAGACGATATTGCATATGAATCCAGATAGAAGTTTAGGGCTTCTGCTTGATAAATTCAAAACAAAAATCACCATCAAATAACAATTCCATCCGAAAAACTATTCTAGCTACTTACATGTTTGAAGCGAGAAAAAAAATGAAGCTAAAAGGATGCAGGATAGTGTGATTACAGAGACAAAAATAAAAGCCAAAGCTTCCACCTAAGGAGGAAACTCCTAGCCCCATGCACAAGCGAAACAACAGAAAATGTGATTATGATGTATCCCCAAATTGATCTGTTTAACAAACAATTCCCCTTCTCTCTCCTGCAACTTGCTGCCAACACTCCTCCAGTACTAACCCATGCCTCCAGCACCACTGTTAAACCTCTGTGGTGCATTACCCTTATGGAAATAAACCAGCAGGGATTTGGGCTTAACTACTTGAGAAGCAATTGGGCCATATGGATCCCCAACATAAGCCCTAGATAATCATGCATTCAAAAAGAAAGTCCTCTTCTGAGTAGAGAACAAGGAAATGGAACATTGTTTGTAGAAACTTTGTTCCCATATTATTTAGCCTTACTTTCATATTCGATAAAACAAAGTGCTGACTAGTGTACTTTGACTTACTGAAGGAGCCTCCTTTAACTTAAAGATTTAATTTAAATGTAATATGTAAACATTTGTGAGAAACAAATTGATAGTTTCTACTATTGGTTCAGTTACAAAAAGCCAGAGTTGAGTAGTTCAATTAGCATGTATTTTCATATATACTACTAAGGGTACAACAACAACCTCAACAAAGTCTTATCTCATTAGGTGTCATCAGCTACATGAGTCAAACAATACCACTGGGTTCAGTCAATATATTATTAAGGGTGCATTTGGAATCAATCTAATGTGGATTCATAAAACAAGCACTAATTCATTCATACCTGCAAATGATCATTTCCACTTAAGAAGGATGGAAAATTCATCCCTGTCTTTACAGAATCAATGATTCAAATGGAATTGTTATTCCATGTCATCTTACATACCAATTTCGGGAAACGCCATTCCTACGTAATAGAGGCAGGAATGGAATCTCTTGAATCCTGATTATCAAACCTTCTTTTAGAAGGAAAGACTGGGATAGAAATCATGCAATTCTAAACATGAGTTCATAAGATATTCACCAATAGCATACACTGCTCATATCGAGCAGTTCATTCTTAAAAACCACGAGAATATGCAAACAAAGTAACACACATACATTAAACAATATGGGAATCAAGGTTCTACCCTTTTCGTTGAGAGAAATGCTCCTCAAGGAAAATGCCAACTGAAAACTTTGAACTAGAGCATCATCACAGGAATTCTGCAAGAGCCAAAACTTACAAGAAATGAGGATAAAATAAAAGTTATGCTTAAATGATAATTCTTACCTCAAAAAGTTCAAAGAATATTCAGTTACAGAACTAAAACCACATAATAACTACAGAATTGATTGTCAACCATTGGCAAAAAGATTTAAATGATGGTAACTAAAAGTACTTCATAAACAGTACCAAAACTCATGAGAAAATAAAGCAACATAATTAAAATTTGAAATAGTAATGCAAGTTCACACTCATATAAATTACTTCATCAAATAAATTTCTACCCAAGATGGTCAATCATTTATCCATAAAGGACAAATAAAATAATGACTTTTGATTTGACATTTGAAAGAAGAAAATATTAAAATTAATCTATGAATACATTATTTGTTATTCATTTTAGTCCTTCTACTATAATTTATTAATTAACTCTCAACAGAAATGGCGATATAACACGTTAAGTATAACATGACATGCTAATATGTTTTGAGCTATGTCAATTAAGAATGTTACAATATAAAATGACTAAAAAAAAACACTTATTTTTATCTCTCATGTTAACACTTTATTAAGAATGTGAACAAAAGTGAAGTGTTTCTTTTAGTCACTATATGTTATAACATTATTAATTAGCATAATTGGTGACACATCAGTGTGTCACATTGCATTTAACTTATCACATCATTATTTCTGAGAGTTAACTCATAGATTATAATAGAGAGACTAAAATAAATGACAAATCACAAGTTTAAGGACAAATTTTAATATTTCTTTCTTTCAAGAATCAAACTGAAGTACTTTGTATTTTTCAGGGATCAAATTAAAGTTTTAGTCTAAAATAATATATAAAAGTGAACACTCCGCAATCTTGATTTCCAATCAATTTTAACTTCCAAATTGAGGATCTTGCCTTTGACCAGATTGCCAATTTATTACGCAATGAATATAAAGGTTAAGGGTCTATGCCGGTGATAATGAATCACCACACTGAAAAGAATTGGAGCAATGTAACCCAGGAACAACATATAAAATTAACAAAAGAACAGTTGATGTACAGCACTCGTGGTTACTAGTGATGTTTGCAAAATGCAACAGGTACAGAAAGAACACAAAGTTTCATATAAATTTTTATAATCATAAAGATTATAAAACTTAAGTGGAATGGTTTATGTTTTAATATCAATTGTGATTACACTTTACTTAGTCACTTAACTTTTTCCAATCAAACTTTTGACATTGTAGTTTGCTAACTACCAGAGATATTTAGTTATATTTGCACTTTTGTTGTGAAGTAGCTGAATCTATGAAAAGGAAAAAAATTTAGAAGTTTTTGAGTTAAGAAATTCAAATGAAAGGGTTATATAAAAAAATTGATTAACAAGGTTATACAGGGGGAAAAAATAAAAAATTGAAAGAGATGGCAGAAGAAGTTGCCCACTTGTTACATCTACAGATGTGAACTTCCCACTTGTTCATGTCAAGTAAATTAGATTTTTGCATTGTTCATAGGAAGCAAAGAATTTGTCAAAAACATATGCTACTTGTAAACCTCAGCTTAACTTGTCAACAATGCTGCAACAATTTGGTTTGAACAAGATATATAAAATGCCAAACAAAAGTGCTGGCTAAACAAGGTAAATTGATATCAACAATTTAATTCTAATCTATTTATAGATGTTAAAATGACAAAAATGATCACATTACCTTACTCCGAGCAACTAGCAAGACAAGGCTGTAGGTATGAGCAATTGCTTCAAAACTTTCAGGCGTGTTCAGAGGATGAATAGACTGGGCCCAGAGGGATGATAGCAGAAGGGTAATCTGATGACTACTAAGCCTAATGGGTAATACCTGCGACATAGTAGTCATAAGAAGGCTGGTAGCATCTGATGGTGTTTGATTGATGAGTTATTTTATTATTAAAAATGTAAAAAAGAAAAAAGTGGAAGTATATACCTGTTGTTTATTGGAAGTGTCTGCAGTATTTTCTTCCGCAGATACGGTTAATTGGGGCTTCTTCACACTAGTAACTCGGCTGTAACTTGACTTCAATCTATTCATCATAGAAGAAGAATTATTGATCTTTGGGTTCCTGTTAACTATAGATTCACTGGTGGTCATAGCAGATTTTCTTGTACTAGCAGTCCGACTATAAGTTGACTTCAATCTGTTCAAAATAGAGTTATCATTGATCTTTCCATCTGTTTGAGTATCTTCTGGCAAGGAATTTCGCTTCCTCTCCAATTTCTCAAAGAGTGCAGCTGAAGAAGAAAAAACAGACACATTTCTTGAGAGCATCCTTTGAATATCATTTGCCTTTGTCAAGGGGGGCTCTGAAGAAGAAGGTTGAGGACAAACTGAAGATGGCACTAGAACAACAGAAAATATGCGGTGTGCACCCACCCTGGTTTCATGGTCTGCATGGACCATTGCCAGGAGTAACTGATGAAATAATGCCGCAGGGAAAGCCTAATGAGTATAGAGTTCGCAGTTAGCAGACAAACAGAAAAAGACAGACATGTCAGAAATAAGAAGGAAACATTACAATCATAGACAATCAAGCAATTTAACTAATCTTGCCTTGTTCTGATATGACAAATTTGGTATTGACGCAACTATTTGAGCAGTTCTATACACTGCACCAATCAAGGTTCTGGCCATAACAGTAATATTAGACATGCTCTCCAGCAACACAGCCATGGTATCAAGAACAGGACCTGCATCTGCAATCTGCATAACATTATAGCCAATAACCACTAAAGAACATTAGATCATTTGCAATTTAAAATTCAATTTTCACATCCAAATGTATGTACGGATCTATATGTATATCTGTTTGTTACACTATTAACTAAAATCATCTTCAGTAATGGGGAATTTATTGTCACCTTCATTGTTAACTGTACAAGGCATTCATCTACTTCCATTCGGTATTTTTGGTTCCATTGTATTACTTCGGCCCCTAAATTTGAATCATCAAGAGAGCAGTGTATGCTTTTTCGCAGGTGTCTCATCATATCACTCAATGCACCAATTATAGCCACAGATTGTTGAACTCTTGTTTGTTGAGCAAGATGGGTAATAACACCAACTATGTCAAGCTGCATATTAGGATTCTTTAAGACATTCTTGTGATCAAGGTGCTTGACTAAAATGGACAGTAACAAGTGCGTATTCTGTCCTGTAAGTTACAGCAAACCCAATTATAAGCTGTCCAGATAGGGGAAAGAAGTTTCAATAGAAAGTTAATCTAAGAGCACTTGAGATAATAAATACCAGAATTTTCTATTATAGATTGCATGTCGAGCAAGACAGAAAGAGCAAGCCCATGTTCCGGAGACCAGACATTGGCATTATCAAAATCGCGGAACAAGGATTCTAGAACACGTCGAACTGTTGTACCCTCCTTAGCTAACTTTGCCATATTTTGTATGCAAACCCGTGACCAAAATCCAGGGTTCTTGGTATCCTCCCTATCGAGAAGAAAAAGAAGTTAATAGAAATTATAATGGATGAGCAAATCAACATAAACAATTATGATAAGAAGGACACTTACGTAGGTGCATTAATTTCTCCTTTGTCATTCACTATCGTTCTCCAAGAATAAAGTCTCATCGGATTCCCATTTTGAGAATCTTGTGTGACATCCCCATAATTTTCCAAAACAACTGAGACAACCTGAGTTAACAAGAGATGCATAAATATGTCAAATGCAAATTGTATACATGAGAGTAAGACAAATGATCCTGTGGAACTGTTATAAGGGTTTAAATGCTGATAAATGAGAAACCAAATCCAGATGACTAATGATTTTAGTCAATAGAGACGTTTTTCACCCTCACAATCAGTATTATTTGTTGAACAATGAAAGCTATCAGAGTTGAGTTGAGCATGGCAGAAGCTAAAGGTATTTGTAACAAATTAAATGCCAACCTTCAAGTCAAAGAAAGTGCACTTGTTTATGAAGAACTATAAACTAAATTAAGTCAATAATGTATTGTTTTCTGAATAAGGGCAAATCCTAACGCTGTTGAGGTAAATATATTGCTAACTTACATTGTCAAATTCAGCTGAAATGTGCGAGAATTCACCCATGAACCAAACCTGTAAAACATGCAAATAAAATAATCTTATCAATTTCACTTCCGCACCACACTATCCTCTTTTTTTATAACTTTATCCTGTCTGATGTGTGTAGAAACTGATTAACATTGAAAAGAGCACAGAACAGTAGACAGCGTATGTCCATGTAAGATTCCAATTACCATTGATGAAAGGACTTGAAGCCCAGCAGCACGCAAATGTTGTATTTTGTCATCATCGCCCATTTCTTGAGCTAGATTGCAAAGTTTTGAAATGAACGCATCTAAATTGAACATATAAGTACCATCCCTCTGCACGAAATAAGAGCATAGTAGACTTGAAACTTGTGCATGAAAAAGCTCGCGTTATCATATGCATTTGAAGTATTCAAATAAAGAATAAACTAGCAGCAAACTCATAAATAGAGAACCTACCAAAAATCCCCCACCTGATTGTTCACAAAGTCAAACAGAGTTTGGCAACCTAAAATCTGCACTTCATCATGCCGCGTTTGATCAAGAAGAATTTGTATGATGCTAAGCAAGCTACTCGCAAACAACGGCCTGCCACAATGGCACTCTCGTAAATCACACATACAAACGTCGAATTCTACTTGCAAACTCGGGAATCCTAAGTGTCTCAAATATCTCGCGAATTAAATATTCAGAAAAGGAACTCACATTTGGTCTTTGCAGGAAATCAACAACTTCCTATAGATACATATAACAACTTTCACAGATTGATAGTTTTCACTTCTCAACTCTCTGTAACACCTCTGCTCGAGATAACTCGTTATCTGAAACAAATTATAACTATAAGAAAACACATACACCAATAGATAGATATACATTCCGATATGAGAACAGTAAACACATGCCTTAGGGACACGGAGAGGATTTCTGGAGGCATACTCGCATAACTTGCCAATCATACGTTCGTTCGGTTCTTCATCCTGCAACAAGCAATAAGGAAATGGCGTAATCGTGATATGAGGAATCGATGCAGATTCTATCACATTCACAGGATCTAACGAAACGTAAATGAAGAGGAACCTGTGTGCGCGGGAAAATATCAGCAAGCAATTTCTTGTAACGCTTAATAGGATGCCTGGAACGTTCTCGAAGCGCGGGGCAAAAGCAGCAAAGGCTTCCGCAAACCGGCCAAATGTTCCGAGAGATCACGCTCATCTTTTTCTTCTTCTTCCTCTTCTTCTTTCAATTCGAAACAAAACGATTAGGAATAGTTGTATAACAATGATGAATGTTGAAGAGGTAGCATCGAAATTGGTAACGGAGAGAAAGAAGAAGGAGAGGAGATCCAGGAAGATGGGAATGAGAATGGAATTGTTATTCAGAGTCCGAGAGCAACGCTGAACGAACGGCTCTCCCTCCTCTACCCCTCTCTCTCTCTCGTCTTTCGTATTTCATCGGTTCCTTGTATTTATAGTGTTCCCTTCCATTTTCTCATTACCACAGCTCACCTTGTCGTTTTCTCTCAACGTGACACCTTACACTTTCCACACTTTCCCCCGCCAACTACCTCTTTTCAATTTCCATCCTTCGTTTTTTCAAATTTTTAATTCACTTCCTCACTTTCTTCTTAAGCTAACTAATTTTTTACTTTTATATGTATGTTGTTATGTTTAAAAAAAATAAAAATGACATCTTTAAATAGTTAATTACCTGTTACGGATACGGGGAAGATGAAACTCATCGAAATATACTGTAAGAAGCTATCCTAATAGCCAATTATTGCATGTGTTATGTATTACAGCTTGTTTGAAAATCTGTCAAAATCTCCGTCAATTCGAAAGTAAAGAAAATTCGGCTCAATGAATTTTTTAATAACTATTTACTAATATATATATATATATATATATATATATATATATATATATATATATATATATTTCCTGTTTAGAATAAATTTTTGTCATGTCAAACTATGTTTCGTATTTAAATTAAATAAAAATAATTTTTTTTATTTTTAATTTATCTTTTTTATCTAATAAAATTAGCTAAAATGTGACACGTGTCACATATTTTATACAAAATAAGACAAAATGCGTTAATCATTTCGTCAAATGTGTAGAGAAAAGATAAATTTATCCTATATATAGATCAAACATTGAGATATCAACATGTGACAAAATCTTATTGATTTCATCTGAAATTGGAATAAAAATACGCGATTATGACATGTGTAATAATCGTGTTCATTTTGTCTTAATTTAGTGTGAAATAAGTCTAAATTAGTCTTTACCCTGCGGTAAAAAGACTGTTGTTACACTTTATTATCTAACAAAATTTATTATATAATGCTACACTCAGCACATCAAAATGAATAAAATTGAAGAAAAAAGACTTGAGAGAAGATTTGAAAGAAATATTAGAGGTTAGTTATATTTGTAATATTTTGTTGAATTTTTTTTATATTTATTTTATTAAAATTGAAATATTTTTTAATTACTTGAATAAACAGAGGTAGATAAAATTGATGAATATTTATTAAATAAATTTTTGTGTAATTTAAGTTAATAATTTATGTTAATATTAAAAAAGATATAGAAGTTATGTCAGTAGATGTTGAATATTATGTTGATTAATAATTATAAAATGATGTTATATTTTTTGTAAATATTTATTTTATATGTGAGTAATACGCATAAAATTTTTTTGATTTTTTTTAATATAAATTGATGTGAAATGTAGTAGTATGTTAATAATAATTTATTTTTTATTATTTATATAAATAAGTATAATTATAATTGTTTATTGATATTGTGTTTTTAATAAATGCAGGATGAGTGATATTATTATTATTGTATATTAGAATGGAAAAATTGATGTGGGAAACGAAAGTGTGATATTTGAAGGTAACAAAAAAATGATAAAGATACGAAGAGGGATCAGTTTTATGAATTAGAAAAAAAAAAGATTCATGACAAGCTGAATCTTAGTAATAATCACTTTATATCTAGAATAATTTCTCATTTTATGATTGATTCAAACACTAAACAATACAATGCATTGGATATATGTGATGATGAAGACATTGAATATATGATTAGTGCATACCAACAACAAAGTATTACAATTGTTATTGAATTATATGTGAATATTACATTTGGTGAAAGTTTAAGGGTTGGCTCAAATATGTTGGACTTAAGCTTATCAATATCACCGCCTAACCTTATGGAAATGGTGAATATAAATGTTACAGAAAGTATAAATTATACCATTATAATGATTTTTTTTATTTATTTTTAATTACGACACATATTGAATAAGTATATTTTTTTGTAGGATGTGCAGATTTAGCAGTTATGAAGATGAAGATGAAGAAGTTAATAGTGATGATGATGATGATGATATTAATAGACATATTCCGTTAGACAGCTTGTCAGATACAGACGTAGATGGTAATTTTACCACAAGAAAATGTTAGAGGTAATATTTGTTAAAGAGTATATTAATTATATTATATACTTTTTTTTATAATGATGAATAATGTCCGTTTATATGTAGGTGTAGGTAAAATACCTTTTTGGAATGTAAGTCAGAAGAAATTAGTGAAGACATTTCATGAGTTATTGGAGATCCCTTACATGTGGATTTATTATTTGATTCCAAAGATAAAGTTAAAGATGCCTCAAAACAGCATGCAATAAAAATGCATCAAAGTTGTATGTGAGGTGTTTGAACCATAACAATGGTTGTTCATGGAGAATAAGAGCATCATTGCTTAAAAATTCAACAAAGTAAAAAATAACAAGGTATGAGTAAGTATACATGTTTCAACCCTACAATATCTTAAGACCATACAAAACTAGATTCAAATTTGATTTGTTCATGCATCATTGGTAAGTTTTTATTATATGAATGAAAGTTTGCATAATATCTTATTTCATGAAGCCTTTTCATAATAAAGATACTTACCTCTTTTTTTGTGTTTTGTGTAGGTATGGTTAATCTTGAATCATCATTGCCTATAAGTCTAATTTAAGAAATGATGACAACTCAATTTGTATATAAAATTTTATACAAAATGGCCTGGAAGGTGAAACAGAAGGCGATTGTAAGAATCTTTGGTGACTGAGATGAATCATATACTACATTGCCAAGATGGTTAGAGTACATGCAATTTCATGTTGTTGGATCTGTTTATATGATTGAAACGAAGCCATTTGTTGTTAGGCATCAAGAGGACAACAGATTTAGAGTATTTGAGCGATTGTTTTGGTATTTACATCAATGTAAGAAGCATTCAACTTTTGCAAACATATTATTCAGGTAGATGGAACATTTTTGTATGGTAAGTATCGTCATATATTGTTGATTGCAACAACACAAGATGGAAATAATTGTATTCTACCACTAGCGTTTGCTATTGTTGAAGGAAAGACTCTGTCAGCGTGGGAATAGTTTTTGGCAATAATCCGTGTGCACGTAACAACAAAAACAGGAATATGTTTAATATCTAATAGGCATGAAAGGAATATGTTGTTGCAATATAGAGGTGGATCGATAACATATCAAAGGAAAAATAGGTTTGTCACGACGATAAAGGACGTCGTTATGAACACATGACCACAATTTTTTCAGAGGTTATTCATAAGGTATTGAAAGGGACAAGAAACTTATATATAACCGCTCTGGCGAAATGCACTTACGGACATATGGTTGAATATTTTGTGAAACATGGAGATGATGCAATGAATGACCTAAATGCTGATAAAAGGTTTTGTTCTAAACTGATGCTAAAAATGCAGAAAAATCAAGAGGAAGCATCTTCACATCAAGTGAGACAATATGATGTTGAAAGAACAAGATTTGAGGTTGAAGAGGCCTTCAATCCTATCACGCAAAGAGGTGGTAACAAATGGACTGTTATATTGTCTAGAAGATATTATGAATATAGAAGATTTCAGGCATATCGATTTTCATGCTCACATGTAATCGCAGCCTGTGCATCGGTAAGTATTGACTTTTAGCAATATATTGATCTTGTTTACTCTGTGTAATATGTCATCAATGCATCCTCATCACAGTGGTTCGCCCTGGGAAATGAGAGTAATATTCTTACATGCAATGAGTGGAAGTTAGTTCCTGATGAGGCGAGAATCAGAGGTAAAGGAAGACCAAAATCAACTTGTATTAGGAATGAAATGGATTGGGTTGAGTCACAAAGTAGATAAAGAGATAGTAATTGTCATCAAACTGGTTACAATATACGTCAATGTACTTCTTTATCACTTAATGAGTAGTATAAAAAATATTATGTATGAAGTCGTAGTATATAATTTGTAGTATGTTTAGCTGCATCATATGTTCATTATCAACTACTTCTTGTATGTTTATATGCATAACATAATTATAAAGGTATTCGAATGGTATATAACATAAACTAAAGTAGTAAATTTCATATAACATCTACTAAAGCTACAAAAGATATATCATATAAATATGTCATATATTATATAAGAAAAATGTAAAACTAGTAAATCAATGTCTATCCTCATCTAGCTGGTAGTGCTGATGTAGGGTCAATATACACTCCCTAGGTCAATCTCTTACGCTACGATTTGGGTTACAACGCATTTCTGGAGGTGGAACATTTAATGCTGCTTCGAAGTCAGCATTCAAATCAATTTCATGACTAAATAGAGTATCATATGAGTCCTCACTTACAAAATCTGGTGCAGGTGAGGGTGGTGTGAGAATAGCTGCATCATATGAAGGCGAGGTCATGAATGGTGATTGACATAGGATATAACAGTTTGTGCTGATAAATGAAAAGGAAACTGTGATAGAACATAGAAGATTCCATCAGAACGGTCAAGTATGGGAGGAAGAGACCAGTTTGTCACTTATGTCTCTGCATGGGAGGCTCAGATGAAGAAATAGACTCCACAATGCGGTTTAAATCATTCTTCAAAACTAGCATAGACTGACACAAGTCTCGCATCTCATCAAACGTGAAAGAATCATAGTCATCACTCATCAAATAGTAGGCTTTCTCAAGACCATCACCCTACAAAACAATTTTTTTTATTAGTAAAAAATATCATTACAAATCATAAATGCAAAATAGAATATGACGCATTTAAATAACATGATTTATTACACTTACAAGTAATGATGAGACAATTGCGTCTCTTGTCATCCAGCATCTAGTGTGAACTCTATACCACCATATATACTCAGAGTTGGAACTTAACAGACCAATTTGGGGGTCATTTGTCATGACTCAATCTCTCATTCTCTCCAAATGTCTAAGACATCCCTAAGCTTCTCTTCCCAATTTTCTAAAGTCTTTCCTTGCAGTGTCAAGTCATGTAATGTATCTGGTCAGTATGGGCCACAAGGTATGTGTTGAACCATACCAAATTGCTACATAACTCGATCTGGTTGGTGCCACTCACATACCTTAAAACATATCAAGGCACCACAACCCTCCACCATTCCCTTACAACATATAGGTGGTAATGAATTAATCAAATCAATATATTATGATTGTCAAATTACCTACAAATAATATAAAAAAATTAAGGTCATTTTTCATAAATGAGAACAAAATTGACCTATGACGATAATTTCATATCTAATTACCCAATCAATGTTTACCTATTTATGACTAAGCATGTCGAATTTATATCTATAATAAAAAATGTCCTTCCTACCTTTTCTATTCCTTTGGTTTGCCAACCACCTACAAAAAATTTAAGAAATGTTAATATAGAAGATATGTTAATCAAAACTAAACAAATAAGCATTTAATATTACCTTGTAGCATATGGAAGATGGGCTCGTGTGTAAAGGGAGGTTACCAGGAGCTAGAAATGAAAACTTATCCCATGCCCACATTACAAGTAATGCAGCTAACCCACCTAAATCATGTCGATCAATGTTGATAGTCATGCATAACTCTATCAAAAAACTCTCAGTATTGCAAACCCCCAACTATATTCATCGGTGACAGCAAAATCATGTAGTAGAGGTAAGTACCTCACTAAGACTCTGTTGCTGGAGTGGTCGCTCAACGTAAAACCATCAATCAACCGCAACATGTAAGCCCTAGCAAATCGAGTGATCTGTAAAGGACTCTGTGCATGCATCGCAACATGGGTAAAATTTTGGTCTAGCCAACTCATCCTAAAAAATCTACCAACAAAAGCATCACGTTCTGGCCGAATTCTTAAGCTCTCCTCAACTATATAAGCATAATTACCTCTAATAGATACTATTACAGGTCTTTCATCAATTCGTAAACCTAACAAGACATATCCTGCAAAGTGATCGTACACTCGCCTAGAGGCAAGTGAAAAATGTGTCTCTAGCCTCCATCTCTTTACTAATGCAGTGATCAACGGGAGGTCTAGTAGGAACTGACATATGTGAGCAATTCCATTAAATCCCACAAGCTCTGAATGTGGAATGATTTCTTGTGGAGTATCATCCAAACCAGCTAAAATAAATTGGCTCTTTCTAACCTTCAAAATAGGATAATCCCAACCATCCAAAATATGCTCAAACATGTGAATTCTCTATAACTACAATAATGAAGGATCTTCTGGTTCAGGATGAATGACCCTATTCTGTCTTGAAGATGAAGCCATCTAAAAAAAAATATTATATATATATATATATATATATATATATATGTGTGTGTGTGTGTGTGTGTTAGTTTCAAAATCAATAATCTATAAAATACAACATAGTCAAAATTTTAAATTTTAATATAAAATATTCAAAAAAAAATTATAACATTAATCAATTATAATACAATAACATGTTCTTACTTTATTATATTATTCAAATACAAAATCTATTTATAACATTTTAATCATTGTAATTCAAATAATATAAATAATCTTTATTTACAATCAATTTCTAAAAATTTACTAAATAAAGTGGTTATTTGTTCATTAATTAACATTTCTCAATTCATTGTTTTTATTTTTTTATTTTTTTCTAAACCAATTCTTAATCCTAAATATATCAATGAATTTTATTTTTTGTTCCTATTTTACCAATATTTATTATTTTAAGTTTACTAATTTTTTTCCAACTAGCATCAAGTCAAATTTACATTTATATTTTATTATCTAATTATCTACATTTTTCATTATTCATACATAAATTGATCTATTTAACAATAATTTTTTTAATTTTTTTAACATAAGCAATATTTATGTTTTCAATTGAATTTAATAATTTTTGGATTTTTTTTATTTATTCCTATATTTTACAATATTTTTTAACTAAATACAACAAAATATATTACTATTACAATTAATAAATATAAACATTGCTATATGTTAACAATTTTCATCATACAATAACAATACTAATTAACAATATTTTTGTTTTCAATTGGCCACCACTTATTTGGTTATTTAATCATAAAAAAAAAACACTTATAATTATACTACTTATTTTTGTTATTGCATCATAAATTAAATTATATAATTATAAATAATTAATCTAAACTAATTACTATCACTCTAAAAATTTATATTGGATATATAAATTTTTTATTTCATAAAAAATTAAATTATATACTTATAAATAATTAATCTAAACTAATTTTTATCACTCTAAGAATTTAAATTGGATAACTAAATTTTTTATTTCATTATAAATTATATTACATATTTACAATAATTTAAACTCAACTAATTAGTATTACTCTAAAAATTTAAATTCAATAACTAAATTTTTTATTTCATAAAAAATTAAATTATATAATAAAAATTATTTATTGTAAACTAATTAGTATCACTCCAATAATTAAGATTACATAAGCAAATTTTGTTATTTCATCATAATTAACCAATTGTAATTAAAAAAATTTCCAATTATTTATAAACTCAAATATTTACTACCACAATTTTAATATAATTTAGTATATTGTCAATTTTAATACATTGAATTTTTACTTTTACATTTTTTTCTGTAATTATCTAAATCGGTTCTTTAATCATAAATAAATATAAAAATTTACATTTTTTTATGTTAATTAATATCAAAAACTAAAATTTATTTTTTAAATATCATTTGTTATATAATTAATCAACCAATCTTATACAACTATTTTCTATTTTTCTATTTTGAATATTATTTACCAATTTATTATTGTATTTAATTATTTTAATTAATTTTTAGTTGCTTTTAAATTTACACCTCAAATTACTACAATAATTCTACATGCAAACTTGAATTTTACAAATAAAGATTATTTTTATATTTCTATAAAATTACTGAAATAAATTTATTTCAATTTTTAATCTAAATATTACTATAAAAAATTTCTAATCAATAATATTTTAATTATAAAAAATATAAAAATACATAAATTATATATTTAAATACCTGGTGTAGATTTTCTGGCAGAAATGACATTTCCAACGAAGGGTTTCCAATGATGATGGTAGATGATGGTAGTTTGTCTAGACTACGCTACCTATCTTCTTCTCTATTGGGGACAGTTTAACAGGTTGTTAGTTCTCTAAAAATCGTCAACTTTCGTGTCCAAAAACAATAGTCATTGGCGGCAATGGAAGCAGAGCTAGAGACGATTTTGCAATGGACAAACAAGATGACTCTCACTCAAAAATCACAATAAAACAACCAAAAAGTGAGGAGAGAAGAGAACCATGCGGTGACCATTACCTTTGTCGACACGTAGCCCAATAAGGAGCTTTCATCCCTAAGTGTGACAAAATAGTGGTTTTGTCTGACTCAAGGACGAAAGTCCTGATTGAGCCATGTGTCAACAGAGTGACAAACTTAAATTCAAATTTTAATTTTGCCTTTTAGTCTGTATTTTATATAAAATAGTGGACACAATAGTTAAATTACGTCCTGATAATTTTTGTTTCTATTTTAGACAAAATAGTTAAATTAAATTAAAAAAATTGATTTTGTCTGACTTAAATACAAAATATGGTTTGATGTGACAAAAATTTACTCCAAACAAGAAATATATATTTTTTATTTTATTTTAGTAAATAATTATTTAAAAATATTAAAAAATTCATTAACTCAAAAGATTCGCTTCCTAAAATTTGCATTTAGGATGGTCTCAATTCTCAAACGCAATAAATCAGAGGTTCCTTATACAAACGATTCTTTTAAAAGAAAAATATTAACAAAGAATATATTTAAATAAAATATGTAATTTGAGTTAGTTTATATACATGTTTTAATTATATTTAATAATTTAAATTGTTATTTTAAAAAAAATTGCTTAATTTCAAATCAGACAGACCTTAAATAAGTTAAAAATAATCAGAACAAAGTCATCCATATTTTATAGTTTAGTTCACTTATTTAGGCTTTATTAATGTATAAACCAATGCTTTAACAAGTCGTTTTTCTTTTGGATCATTGACGGGTTTTAGAAAAAAAAACATAAAACTAACCGTATAAAACTAACCGTATTTTTTTGAAAAACAAAATATATATACATAACACCTAAGCTGGTTCAATAATGAAACAAATTTATGCAAATGCATTTTGGCGAATCTCTACTCTCCACCGTTCGATTGTGACTAGGGCATTAAATATATTGGCATTATTTTGATAGTCTTTGTGATCCAAAACCTAATATGAGTTGTCAAGTTTTTTTTTTATTCATCACAAAGTGCAACAAAAGAGACTCGGAAGAAGATGGGAATGATATCAGAAACTTCAACCAACGCTTATGAAAAAATACAGTTTCATTGTTTGAATATCAAAAAGTTGATTTAGTATATTATTATTTTATTTTTTTAATATATGTTAAATGACAAATTTAAATATAATAAATATCTAATAAAAATTTACACAAAAAATATAAAGTAAATTAAAATATATTCTCAATATTTTAAATTTTAAAATAAAAAAAATTAGTATTGAATTAAACCACTAAAAGTAGAATAAAAAATGCTCTCATAAATTTTAATTCTCCAAATAAGAAAAATAAAATAAAAAATTAATATTAATGAATACAAATCAATCAATTAATAAATTTTTAGAAATGTAATCATATAATAATTGAGTGATGATAATTAAGGTATGATTAAAGTAAACTTACATGGAACACATGAGTTACTAAATTAATTTTTGAATATTATTTAATTTTTGTTGAGATTGCAATTTAAGTTGGAGTTGAAAATTAGCCTCTTCCTGCTTTCTTAAAAATAATAGTTAAATTTTGTACTTCTAATTCTAAATCATTTGTTCTCTTTTTTTTCATTTTCAATTTGATTTTCAATAATTTGTTTGTTTATAAATTTTTTGGTTACTGATGCACTTTTTAGGCCAAGTAAATGATTTAGTTTTCTTCCTAATACAATGCAAAATATGTTCAACCAATGGCACCATAGCTTGAAAAATATCTTCTTAATATATCTCTCTCATACTCTTCAAATCTTCCTATAAAAAAGTTTAAGATAAATAAAATAAAAAAAAATAGATAATTTGAATAAGAAACATATTAATAAATTTTTTATTCCAACTACTATAACTTTTAAAAATATTTTTTCTTACCATAATTTGGGCACCATTTAGAGTACATCATATTTCATTAGATCTCATTCACTTGGCCTTCCATATTTTGTACAGCATGTGGCTGTTCAACATTTTTGAATTTTCTTTTTATTAAAAATGAATAAAAATAAATAATAATTTTAAAAATAATAAAATTGAATTAATAAATTAATAAAAAAATAAAAACAATAGAAATTAATAATTAAAATTTTCTATTTTATATTTAAAAATTACTAAAACATGATATTATGTTTACAACCGAGTAAAAAGGTAAATATTACAAAAGAGAAAATTTTGACGTCAAATAAGCTATCAATTATAAATTGTAATAAAAGATATCAAAATTATCTATTGGAGTTAAAATTACTCATATTTTAGTCATAAATATAAAAAAATGAAGTCATATAAACTCTTACAATTTATGGTGACTGTTAGTGCAATTTTTACAAACACAAAAGACAACAATGTTCTTTCACAAACACACAATTATTTATATATAATGCATAAAAAATTAACATAAAATATAAAAAAAAAATACCATTTCAAATGTCTTTTGCACAACTGATTTTGTATTGATGATAGTATGATAGACTTAATTTTTTGCTTACTTCAATTAGATTTATTTTTCAAGTTCCTGTCCTACTTAAAATGAAAAATGATTTTTTATTATAAGTATAAATAAAATGAATAAACCAAAGTCAAAGACAATGAAGTAATTGCACTGAAGTTTAGAATCACTCTATTTATTTTCTATTTATTTTTATTAGTCATTGTGTATTTCTTATATTGAGATTGCATTTGTCACATTGCATATTCTTTAACTTCATCATACAAATATAAGATATCTTTAAGTCATGTAAATTTATTAGAAGAGAAAAATTAAAATATTTTGTTAGTTAGAAAACTATACATAACATAAGTAAAAAAAAGAAATACACAACAAGAGAAATTTAATATAAAGACAACAAAATATTAATTTAACATGGTAGTTAGCCAATATTAT